CTGGGTTGTTGTGGTACTGTAGCCAATGAGCATTACAATTCACTGTCCACTGAAAATGATATAGCCAATGCCAGAACAGAGTGAGATAAGCTATTCAATTGTGCGCTGGTACTAGACAATTTTCTTTTAATTAATGCTTTTCTTTTTTTCTTCAATTTATTTTTCATTTTTTAAATTTGTTTGAACTTTGGCGTTTGTATTTTTAAAATGTTTAATTAAGTAAGGCAGGTGTAATTAAGACATGTATTTGTACTTTTTGTTAATCTCTTCAGATTGTCATGTTTTTTTCCCTTTTTTTTTCGTTTTTTTTCTTGGACGCACCTTTATGTACATACTGTGCCATTGTTGCAAAGTGTCGCTTCCAAATAAAGAATACAATATAAATGTTTGTCCAATCAGTATGCAATAGGCCTACATGACACGATGGTCCCGAATGAGATTTTTAAGCACTAAATTTCATTTTTAGGAAGGATTGAATAATTTAATTCTTAACCTATAATTAGATGTGTATAAGAGACAGGGATTTTCCTGGGCAGCTAGGTTTGAAATTACCTTATAAATGTCCTTACTTTGGTTAGTCAGAAACACTTGGGCTTCCTTATCAGAAGGAACAGAATGCGCTTGTATGAATGTCTTAAATCTAGCCCAATAGTCAGTCCACAATTCAGTTGTAGGATCAAATGGTGTAAACTTGGGAGTCATGTTAGTAATAGGAGTAACGACCTGTTGCTGTTGAGACTGTGACTGTTTAAACGTAGTCATCAGTTCTAGCATTTGATCTCCCTGGGTTTTAAGTTGCGAGCGTAGTAACTCGTTTTGTTCCGCCATCATGGCCAGTAATTGTGTTTGCGTGTCCGGAGCAGTCATCCTCGTGAATACGGTACGGTATAGCGTGCACGGTAACTATGTAGAATCAGGTAGGTAGCCTAAGTCCTGGGCTTAGCGAAAAATCTTTGAACAGTACTCACGTTAAATTATGAAAATAAACGTCCTCGTCGCCACTGTTATGTTCTTGGAAGGTTTTAGAACAATAAATAAATAACACACATAGGTTTTAAACAGCGTGAGTTACTTTAATTCCGGAACTCAAACAACACAAACAAAACACAGCAAACTTTCTGTATTGTAAGATGGTCGTCAACGACGATGCACCGATAGGTGGCGCACTAACAGTTAACTTAATTCTCAGTGCACAACATTAAACAACATAAAACATATACATATCAAAGTTATTAGGTTAAAGTCGTCACGTCGGTGCATGCATAAAACATAATTTCCTAAAATTTGGATATCTGAGGTTGACAGTCAATCAAAATTCTCTGTATTATCAATGCTAATTTAAGGAGCAGACTTCCTTATTATTTAAGAAAATATAAATGTATATTGAGCTATGCAAAGTTTAGAAGCTTAAAAGTTAAAAGAGAAGACTTCCCTGTGTTGTGGTCATATTAGACTGTAATAATCCTTAAAGACTTATGGATCCTTAAAGATTTCAGGAAGTATAAATGTATATTGAGCTACTCAAAGTTTAGAAGTTTAAATGTTAAAAGAGAAGACTTCCCTATGTTGTGGTCACATTAGACTGTAATAAATCCTTAAAGACCATTCAACAAACAACAAAATATATCAAAATTATTAGGTTAAACTTTCCACTTTGGGGCATAAATATAACATAATTTTTGAGATTTACATGACATTTGAGAATGTACTGAATATAAAATGATAAATCTTTTATATATAGTATATTTTACAATTTAATCAGCAATCTATCAGAAATACAGGGATTGGTTATACTGTAAAGCCCCTGCAATACTAAAACTGTGATCCGACAGGCAGTGTATATGCAGTTTGATTTAGTGTAGATGTTTTTTACATGTTTTTATTATATTTGTATTCTTTTTATTTTGTATGATAATGTTGTTAAATTCCCAAGCGTAACCCAGACTACGGGCCTCCCTCGACACTTTACGTCAAAGGACATGTTAATTAATCTTGCTCAGGAACCTGTCATCACCAGCTTCCTCCTCCTCATCTTCATCATCATAATTATTAATTGCCCATTGTAAAGTAGGGAAAAGCTATGAATTCAGAGTGTATTCAATAATAGACATCTCATAATGCACGAAAGTGTATTTCAAAGCATCTACAAAACAAAAACTTTTCGAAGGAAGACTCCCCCACCACCCCACCCATATCTAAAATTTGTCTTCCAGCAACAGAACAAACTAGCTCTCTTTGCATGACCTACCTTCTACCATGGGAACCCATCTGTGCGATAGTTAGGGTAAACTCTGGATCTGTGCTTGACATGTATTTAAGAGTAGTGCTTAAAAGATGTATAGGTATTTACAGTATATTTATTTATATAAAACAGTGTTACATACTAAAACTATCAGGAATAAATATACAGAGAAAGGCATGTTTATTCTTGTCAGTTGACTAGGTAATTTAGAGAAGAAATGAATATAAGTCCTAGGCAAGTGTATAAGGGAACCTTTAGTCTGATTTTCTGCAGAAGCTGTGTGTAGTAATTGACCTACTGTACTTGATTTAGATAAAAGCTATGTCCACGTAAACACTGAATTTCAACTGAAGAAAAAATGCATCCTAGTTTCTTAATCAATCATTATAAATCTTAAGCTAAAGAGAAGAAAATAATGTAAACTATCATTAACCGTTCACCCCAGAGTTTTACAGATTTGTGGTTCCTGAGTTAGGCCAATAAAAAAAATTCCTTTGCAGAATGTGATGTGGCAATGTAAAAAATTCAGAGTAGAAATAATTTTTATCATCTGGCAACGGGTTCACAGAACAAAATATAAGTCTCACCTTATGCCATTATCTATATCTTTCAGTTATTCACCTAAAATGAGAATTTTGACACATCAAGGATGTAACAGAGATTTCAAGAAATCATTTGATAGAGTCATTGATGCAGGATTTGATGCCGACAATGTTGAAGGTTTGTATCTCGGTGTACCAATCTCATTTGTAGCTTGCTTATTAAATTGTTAAACTTTTATATTGAGTTTTAATAATAAGGTAATGCAAAATATTTTTTTTTTAAATGCTATTTAAAGGAAAATTATGAAAATAATATAATATTGTAATTAGCTTTCTTTAAAAAAAAAATTAATAGAACTGTTTTTATCTATTAAAATAAACTTGTACCGAATTATATCAACAAGTCATTATTTTAATTACTTGAGAGGGAAGGGGAGAAATAGGTATTACCCTTCATACAAATTAATTATAAACATGAATATAATATAAATCATTAGTAATCTTTTTTGAATAAAATAATACTAAAAATTGAGATTTACTAATTTAAACATATCAAGACAAATTTCAAAAACAGTAATTAAGTTGAGCACCTCTCTATACCCAAAACACAATTGCTGGAAATGTTAAAAATACATTGTGTGTAGTTTGCCATTTCTAAGCATGCAAATGTCTTATGCAGATAGACAATGCACTTGGGCACAGGTCTGAAATATTTCCTCCCTTTTGGATAAATTGATTTTAAAACTAATTAGAGCACAAGAGAGCCGGCTCCTGCAGGGCCCTGAAACACACTTGAAAAAGTGTGGTATTGGTAAATGATACTTTGATCCATATATACTGTACTGTACATGGTTCAAAGTGAAATTATACAAACAAAATCAGTATCCAAACATCTGACTCATTTCATGTGATCAGAGTACATTTGATTGAATATTAAATTTTAAATTTTCAGACATAAAAGAGGGATACCAGAAATCTCCTTTTCCTGAATTAGACGGATTCATCATGTCAAAGGTGAACCAAGGAGGCATTCAGGGTGAAATACGTCGCTGGACATACTACGCTCGTGGTGGTATCATTGTGTACGACATCGTTAAAAACCGCTGGTGCGAGAATATTGGTAGACAACACAAAAGTAACAACATTATGTAAGTTGCCCGTTTATCAAACATTTTTTTTTTACATAATATCGTAAATCATTGTGTAATAACACTTTTTGTAATGAAACATTGAGAAACAGGGTATTAAATACAGTGTCTACAGTATTAAAATGATGTAGGACCTAGGATAGGCCTACCGAACGACAGGAATACGTGAGATGGAAAGCATTACGCCAATATTTGTTTAATATGCGCTGATCTTGAATAAGCACCACACTGAAGTCTCTAAGAATTTTACAATCGCAGCGCTTATTTGAGTCTCCCAGAAATTGGGATTGGCCTCGCACGCTCCGAAAGATCTATTGTATTTATGTGTGTTATAATGTCTAATGCCTGACACTGATACAAAACTATTATTATAATGAAGGGCGATGTATTTGGTGTGGTAGTTGTTTGGGGAGCAGTGGTTTTGTCATTAGAAAGTCCTTGCTCTTAGTATTGAAACACTTAATCACCCAAGTCTTCTGCGAGTAACTTGCGGGAATTGTCAGTAATACACACTCGCACCGGATAGTGCAGACATCCTAGAATCTAACCCGTCTCTGGGTGTTGTTTTACTACAGCAGGGCCGGATCCAGAGTTATCCAAAAGGGAGACACTATGACGGAGTCTGGGAAATTTTTGTCCGGAAACAAACTTGGAGGCATTTAGGGCGATCAATATTTTCTTTTTATTTTTTTTTTAATTCCCCCCCCCCCCACCTTTTCTTCTGTACAGTATGAACCATGCATTGATATTTTTTACCAACAATTTAATTCATTTTTAGTTCCCTAAAATTGCATTTTAATTTTTTTTGAAATTTTATTATAATGCTCCTTGTATATATACTGTAACTATTGTAAATTTGTTTAATCATGAATGTTTAAAGATGTATTGTCCCTTGCTAAATACCAAAAAATTTTTTTTGAAATTAACTTGCCCATTTTGAAGTAATATAAAAGTTATCAACTTGAACATAGAAATTAGTGTATTTAAAAAATGTCTACCCAAGAGTTTACAGCGAAAAATGATAGAAACACTTACAGTCACTGGAAGTGTTTTATTATTTTTATTATATTTTTTTGGTTTAAAAGTCAAGGTACACATTTTTTTAATTCAATAATTTTTATGCACAAGTTAATAATTTGTATGCTATTGTAATATGAGCAAGTTTATTTCAAAATTATTTTTTATGATTTTTTGACATTAGAATAGCAAGGGACAATACATCTTTAATGTAGGCCTACTGTGTTTATAGTGATTTTATATTGTATTTATGCTCCCTGTTATTAGCTTTTTATGCTGTTGGTGGCAAAATAAATTGGAAATATTACAAATAAATTACAGTATTATTAATTGTCTCCTGGAAACCAGCTGGTCATGGGTTATCAACATCATATATTTGAAATACAAGTTGGCACTCAATATGTGAAAATAATGAATTATGCCACATATACACAATTCTCAGTTAAATGTGTATACAGTAATGATCTTGTCCGACTATAGCATTCAACTGTAAAATCAACATCAAATGTAATACAGTACCAACCACTAGGTCTTGTAAAGTACTGCTTTCTAATATGACTCAATATTGAAACGTATTAAGCCTGTTGTTCGTGCGAATCAAAAATATCGGTTCATTTCCTGAGTTCTGATTTGTTGCACATTTTTCACTTTGCAAAAAGTATAAACAGTTCGAACTACTGATTTCTCTGAAGCGAAAAAACTCGCATAGAAATGTGAATGCGTATGAATCAACGTTTCTGATTCACGCAAGTAAATTCATGTAGTGAATAACCGGCTTTAGTGCGATTTAAATGATTTGTCATACAAGGCTAAACCCAATATAATTTTATAACATGTTGATCATTATTTTCCTCAGGATTATAGCAGATCTGAAGAAAACAGTGTTTTATCAGAAGTGTCTTGACCCAGAATGCCGTGCGATCAACTACAAGTCACCTGATCAAGAAATCCCTCTAGAAGTCTTCCCTTCATTTGATGATTTAGATGATGATGAGCTAATCAAAGCTGCTGATAAATACGAAGCCGCCCAGAGAACAAAGAAAGAGGGGGATAATGATGGGGGAATTGGAGATTTTCTTGCAGATGATGAAAGTGATGAGTTTGTTGAAGCTGTTGATGTTCTAGAGAAATCAATTAGTGAAATTTGTTGATAGAATTTCAAATTGTAAAATGAGAATGCTTATGCTAAATTTACACTATATAAAAAAACCCACTCAAAAATGTCAGTCACTGGAAGTGTTTTATTATTTTTATTATATTTTTTTGGTTTAAAAGTCAAGGTACACATTTTTTTAATTCAATAATTTTTATGCACAAGTTAATAATTTGTATTCTATTGCAATATGAGCAAGTTTATTTCAAAATTATTTTTTATGATTTTTTGACATTAGAAAGGGACAATACATCTTTAATGTAGGCCTACTGTGTTTATAGTGATTTTATATTGTATTTATGCTCCCTGTTATTAGCTTTTTATGCTGTTGGTGGCAAAATAAATTGGAAATATTACAAATAAATTACAGTATTATTAATTGTCTCCCGGAAACCAGCTGGTCATGGGTTATCAACATCATATATTTGAAATACAAGTTGGCACTCAATATGTGAAAATAATGAATTATGCCACACATACACAATTCTCAGTTAAATTTGTATACAGTAATGATCTTGTCCGACTATAGCATTCAACTGTAAAATCATCAACATCAAATGTAATACAGTACCAACCACTAGGTCTTGTAAAGTACTGCTTTCTAATATGACTCAATATTGAAACGTATTAAGCCTGTTGTTCGTGCGAATCAAAAATATCGGTTCATTTCCTGAGTTCTGATTTGTTGCACATTTTTCACTTTGCAAAAAGTATAAACAGTTCGAACTACTGATTTCTCTGAAGCGAAAAAACTCGGATAGAAACGTTTCTGATTCACGCAAGTAAATTCATGTAGTGAATAACCAGCTTTAGTGCGATTTAAATGATTTGTCATACAAGGCTAAACCCAATATAATTTTATAACATGTTGATCATTATTTTCCTCAGGATTATAGCAGATCTGAAGAAAACAGTGTTTTATCAGAAGTGTCTTGACCCAGAATGCCGTGCGATCAACTACAAGTCACCTGATCAAGAAATCCCTCTAGAAGTCCTCCCTTCATTTGATGATTTAGATGATGATGAGCTAATCAAAGCTGCTGATAAATACGAAGCCGCCCAGAGAACAAAGAAAGAGGGGGATAATGATGGGGGAATTGGAGATTTTCTTGCAGATGATGAAAGTGATGAGTTTGTTGAAGCTGTTGATGTTCTAGAGAAATCAATTAGTGAAATTTGTTGATAGAATTTCAAATTGTAAAATGAGAATGCTTATGCTAAATTTACACTATATAAAAAAACCCACTCAAAAATGTATTCTATACTATAGAATTTTTATGATATTAGGGGCCTAAATGATTTTATTATTGTACAAAAAGCAATAACAAATTTATAACTGAGTTTTCATAATAAATTTTGTACAAATTTCAAGTTTTGTAATGATTTATATTTCTACTTAAAAATAACTGTATGTGGTGAACAACAACATTTTGATTTCCAATTACCTTAAGTTTAGTTAATAATAGCTTCGGCCAAAACACAGATGGTGCTAACAACGCTTTTACAGTATGGGCTGTCACTCATTCTTTCCCTAAGATCCTTGTAAGAGAGTAGTTATTCTAGCAATGGTAAATAATTTTTTCATATGGTGTATAGCCTTCAATTTCCACCAGCAAATTTAAAGATTTTTGTACAGTAGGAACACTGTAAAGTGTAAATCATTAAAACCTTTCTTTATTCAAATTTTTACTTCTAGAAAGTTCTGCAATTATACATATCAATACACCTCGGTTGATAAAGAAATAAAAATGTCTTTCCATTGTGTAGTTGTCGAACAAAAATTTTTTTTTTAAAGATTATTTGCTGGATATCTTGATATATTCATCAAGAGCAAGAATTAGTTCCGTAGACAGGCTATCAGCGACTGTTAAACCTGCTGCAGTTGGTTTCAGATATTCATCAGATATTTTAACCAATCCATGATTTTCCAAAACCTTAACTGCTTCATTTTTCTGGAAAATTTGCCTCAAAGAAATTCTACCAGAATGTTCAAGCCATTTGTTGCTTGATATTCCTCTTTTAGTTCTCAATCCCAGCATGATCAATTCTTGTAATATTTCCCGAACACTCTGTTTCACTCTTCTTCTGGTTCCGTGCCCATTTCTATGGACCTCCATCATCCATGGTAACGGTTCTAGTGTCTGAATCCTTGCTTCACGCATTGGTAACCCAGATTGATCACTTTTAAAAACAATTTCTGAATAACCTTCATCACTGAAACCTGTGAATCCATCAGGCTTTGTTTCCCTCTGTACTGATGTATCTGGATACTTATCCTGGTTCAGGGGCACAAATCTCCCATGTGCCCCAGGTCCAACACCTAAATATTGACTTCCTGACCAATAAGCTTGATTGTGTTGGCTTTCAGAACCAGGTTTTGCCAAGTTTGACACCTCATACCTTTCATACCCAGCCTCAGCTAGGATACAAACAGCTGCTTTGTACATTTCTGCAGAGACATCGCTTTCTGGGACAGATATTTGCCCTTTCTGATACCACTTGAACAATTCTGTGCCTCGCTCTAAAGTCAACTGATAAAGAGAGATGTGATCATCTGCATGCTTTATAACTTCCTCTAGCTCTTTCAACCATGATGTAACTGTCTGTCCAGGTCTTGCAAACATCAAATCTATTGAGGTACGACCTGGGAAGAGTTTCTTGGCTTTGTGTAAAACACGGATAGATTCCTTCACAGAATGATCACGTCCCAATATCTTAAGGTCAGTTTGGTTCAATGCTTGCAATCCAATGGAGATTCGATTGATACCTTGAAAAAAGTGATATTAATAATAGGTAAATAAATTTAAACAATTCTTTTATCCATATCTTATAATATAATAAGAAAGAGAACCATACTCACCAGCCAATTTAAATGAAACTAACTTCTCTGCTTCTAGTGCGGTGGGATTAGCCTCCATGGAGATTTCTGCATCTGGTGATATATATGCTTGTTTATTAATCTCATTTATAATTCTTTCAAACATGACTGGATCAGCGAGGCTGGGCGTTCCACCACCGAAAAACACAGAATTTATCTGCTTGATTCCACTGAGAGATATCAATGTTTGCAATTCTTTTACAAGGGAGTTTGCCATTGTTTCATTTTGATCTTTGTTTTCAATATATTTATTAAAGTTGCAATACGTGCATCTGCGTTTACAAAATGGCCAATGGATATACACAACTGCTTCCGACATCCAGCGTGGGTACACAGGCGCGTATTTAACATCTTGCATTGAAACATATCGGCTAATAGCCAAAACAACAGGCACAGTGTTGGCAAACAGTTTTCTTACTTTTTTAATACAATGGCCAGTGATCTGCATTGTGGGAAATATTTTTAAGATGTTCATAATCAGCTCAGAAATCGTTGGAAAAACCAAAACAGCTATATTTTTTTAAAATGTCAAGCTATCTGGAATACAAAAAAAAAGAAAAACAATTGTTGGAACATTTTTTTTCATGCCACAAAGAAAATAAGATATACATTATACAGTGGTTTCCCTCCCTTTTAAGACCCATCCAATCAAATACCACTTCTGTGATCCCAAATTAACATCTTTCTCTTATCTTTATTCTAAACCGAGACCAAAGCTGCTAAGACCATAAAAACCCCAGTTTCAGAAGTGCTCTTTAATTGGAGGGAGCCTGTACCTACCTACTCCCACGAATAAGCGGCCAGGTGCTTAAATTATTTTTTGCACTTTCTGTGGGGCTCTAATTTATAGATTAAAATTGAGGGGGTACTTAACGGGAACTTGGAACACAGATAATGAGAATATGCTACAGGGGCAAACTTTCGGTAAAAGAAAAAAAAGAAGTAGGACGATTCATTGCCAAATGTAAGAAGAGGAAAGTTGGAGATTCTGTCCAGAAGAAATATCCTCATTGGAAACTGACAAAATGAAAAAGTGAATCCATCCTGCAGCTCAAATCAAGCCAACTACAGTCCCAAGATTTGTTGGATTGTGATATTGTTTTAAAAAATATGAATACACATGCAAAACACACTAAAGCATTGACTTAAGTTTATTTTTGTTGACTGAAAGAAAAAAAACAACAACTATGTATTGTAACTTTTAGATTTTAAATTCTGTATGTAGTTCTAAATCCACGGAAACTGTTTTAGTATTATTGACTTTTTTTAGGAATCGAAGAGCGCTTATGCAAATTAGGATGGGAGCTTATTCGAATGGGGTGCTTAAGAAAATGTTTACACTTGTGGGGCCCTTTATACAAATGGGGTGCTAATTTGCACGAGTATGTATTTGATTAAACAAGACATGCATTTTGAAAAATAAAAAATAAAAAATAAAAAAGGCCGCTTCCTCAATTTAAAAAAAAAGCCGGACGTGAAACATGTTTTTTTTTTTACTTGGCCTAATATATATCTGCACAGTAGGCTACACCAGACAGAACTTAGTTTTGTTTAGTGATTTGAATTGGATATATTTACATAACTGTAAACAACTGATTTAAAAAATGGTAAGGATAAGTCATTGCTCACTGACTTATTATTCCACCTAGTTGCATATCATAAATTAGTAGGCCCATTAGGCACACTGCCATAGCTGGCCGTATTCATGCAAATTGCCATACATTTATATTTGTTGCTGCTTTTTCATCTTTTTTTTTTTTGTCTAGGCCTACACCAATTATCGCATGCTTTATTCATCATGTTACAATCACATAAATTTATCTGCTTAATAGTAAATTGTCTATTCAATCTATATCTAACCTACCATCTCAAATCATTTATAGATTGTTCTATGAAACATCAGCTGTGCATAGGCCTATATAATAGTTTTATAATAGTTTTAGTCTATATAATAATATTTGTATTCATAATGTACAGTTCTATATTAATTACTAGAGTAGTCACTCCATAAAGTGCACCTCTGCCCTGTTCCTGAAGACAGTATCCTGTATTCAGTAACAATAATACTCAGGCCCTGTATGAATGGCAAAACTGCAGCATACCCTCAAGGAAATAGTTAATTGACCTGTCGTGTTCAGGGATATTAGTGAGCTTTCGCTCCATGACGGTAGACAGTAGAGGACGGTAAAATGGTACAAAAATGTATCTGCGCATGCGTATGAGTTCAGTACCCTTCGTCTCGTTCAAATCCATAACGGTCTTCTCTCGATTTAACTTTCGGTCTAAAATAAGATGGGAAGCAACACACCGGGAACCAGAGAATGTTTAAGTTGTGTGTGATGCATGAGAAGACGAAACCTAGGCCGAGGCCTTTCAGCTTTCTGTGTAAGCAGCCTCTCCTTACCTAAAATAACTGTTGCACTCGTCATCATTGTATCCGTTTAAATCAAATGAAGCAAATAGTTGTTGTACTGGAAATCTGGATTTCTTGACGTATTTATGTCGTATAAAAACATAAATTCTGCATCATCAAGAAAGCCATATACTGTAAATACGCCTTTTCAATGTTTTCACAAAGTACACGTAATTCGGCATTCTCAGTTCCTTTGATCGCATACCAGGCTAAGAAAAAATTTGCAGGTCATTCAACGTTAACTTGAGGGCGTTTGTGTACGTTTAGTAACATACGAATAGACCTGAGGACCTAAATATCACTTTGTGTTAAAACAAAAGGTGGATGAGTTCTTTGAATGTCCAATCATAATTTAATTTAAGGAATATGAGTAGTTTAGACATATTATTATTCTCACTCCTCTGTTATAAACTTCTTTTTTTGTATAGCAAATAAATTGCAAAATATAACTTTATTATTATCATGGTATGAAAATGTAAGCAAATTTTAGATTAAAAAGTTAATATGTAAACTAATGATTTTTCAAATGATTTTCACATAGCATGAAAACAAGTTACTCATTCTAGTCTTACATCTTGCTTTTAATATCAATTTCAGTTTTGTTTATTGCTTTACTGCATGATATAGTAATTGAAACATGATACTAATGATTGGCAGATTTTGATTTATAAATATTAGAATAGGTCAGTACCATTTCACTTGAATTAATATAATATTTAGGTAATATATTTGAAACAAAAAAAGACAATAGATATAAATGTTACATATTATTAAATTGTACAGAGAGATCAATGTCCTTAAATGATGAATGAGAAAGGGTATGTTGAGTTAAAGTTAAGTACTGTAAGCTCAATCAATTTCCCATCACGTATGCATTACATATTGACACCTAATTACTTTGTACTCTTCATGCTAAATTAAACTATTTCTTTCTATACCGTACTTCCTGTTGTAAAGATGTATTGTCCCTTGAAAATGACAAAACATCATAAAAAAAATAATTGTGAAATTTAAGTTGCTCATTTTTCTGTAACATACAAATGATTAAGTTGAGTATAGAAATTATTGAATTTAAAAGATGTGTACCCTGGATAATAATAATAAAACACTTCCAGTGAGTGGAAGAGTTTCTATCATTTTGCTACAAAATAATGGGTAAAAAGTTTTTAAATACATTAATTTCTATATTCAAGTTGATAATTTTTAATATGTTACTGTTTATAAATACTTCAAAATGGGCAAGTTAATTTCAGAAATGATTTTTCTTTTGTATTTTGCATGGGACAATACATCTTTATATTCCCTGATAAAAAAAAAAAAAATTCAGAATCATTGATATCCTATTAAAATATAAAGCTAAAATATTTTGAACTTACACACTATACGTTTACAGTAATGCCAAACAAGATATTTCTTGGCGGCACTGGTTGACTGTGACCGTTTTACCGAACAGTCAGACAACACCAGTTAACCCATATTGCAGTTTAGTATCCATTTAGTATCCAACAATAACTCTATTATATTATTATTTGATTCATTTTTTTTGGTTGGGAGGGGTGGGGGTTGTGGGGTACTGTATACAAAGCAAAATAAACAGAAAAAAGAGTAGTACCCTACCTGAAAATCTTACCTGGGTGTAAAAGAAAAGCATCGCCAGACACTTATGTTTTTTAGACACTTGTATAGGACTCCTTCTAAATAAAGACCCCTTTAATTTAAAGGCTACAGTATTTCCAGTTTTTGACCACTTTTCTGTGGTCCCAAGTTAACGAATTGTCTTTTATCTTTATTATTCTAATTAGAGACAATTTCTGCTAAAGACCATGGAAATCAAGATTTCAAAAGTGGTCTTTAATTGGAAGGAGAACTGTACAGTATTTACGTATCACACATTTGATTTCATCTCTACCTTCATCACCCTATCCTTTCTACCTACTGTACCCTTTCTAACTAGCCGAAAACCGCATGATCGTGCATGTCCCTGTGTTTGTATTTCAGATCTAGGACAATAGAAATAGAGCCTGAAAACCAATTGGGAGGGGTATGTACCAATTTTTTTTTACCCGTTTTATTTTTTCTTCCCAACAATTTCAAATACTTTATATCTTGAATGGAGAGTAAAGTATGAATAGTGCATGCTCTATTTCTCGAAATGAATCTTGCTTATAAATTTAGCTTAACTGATATCCAGTCACGGTACAATCAATCTTAGTTTCCTTAAAATTGCTACAGTGTTTCCAGTGTAATCGTTGTACTACGTACGTAACAGGCCCCGACGCTGATCTGACCGACCAATCAGCATCAGCTAAAGCTGTTGGCGATAACGTGTTGCAATTATACGGAAACAAAGCTTTGTTTCTATTGGACTAGTTTTGACCAATAAGAAGTGTAACATTTACTTTTATCAAATCACACCGATGCTCACAATTTGATGTAAATATGCAGTAGTTTCACACCAAGCATGTGGCTAAGCATGTGGCTGAACACGCGGTAGGATTTTGCACATGGTTGTCAGTCTAATCATGGATGCAATCTGTAAATAGATATCGTAGTACAGTAGTAGCACACAGAAAAACTTAACCAAATTACACTGCTCACATTAAACCTTGTTGCCATGGAAAAACAGCACGGTTATTTTTCCTCAACTACGTTTGATTGGTTAAGTTTTCCATGTGACCAAGTTGGGGTGGATGTTCACCTGAATTCTTTTGCTGAAAATGATCAGAGTCATGATTTTGACCAAAAGATTTCAATGCAAACATGGCTTGACGAGACTTTTTTTATACCTTGTTTCGCGAACTTAGTTTTTAAAGATCGTCAGAGGAGGGTGTAAAAAAATACAACTAAAATTTTGGGTTTTTTTTCTTTTTCTTCTTTATTCTTTGAGTGTAAACAGTGTAGTAATGGTATTGTTTAACGTTTTAAAGTTATTATAATTAGCAAGAAATACATACCTTCTTTTAGGTGCTTTCAAGGCAGCGGCGGCTGTAATAAATATAAAGAAAAACTTTTTTTTTTTTTTTTAATTTCCAGATTCTTGTGGTGGTGGGTGCACTAATTGGGCAAAATTAAAATTTTATTTTTATTTGATTTCATCAACATTGGCGGGCGGCTGGTTCGGGAAACAATGTATAAAAAACTCGCCTTACATCAAATACAGCGTAAAAAATCAATGTTGCAAACTACAGGCATTTCAAAGTGTTTTAGGTTTAACTTGTGGTTCTTTTTGATACATGTGCTATTGTAGTTTTTTTTAACATCTCCCTGGCTGAATTGAATACTACCTTTTAAAGCACAGTTTAGGCTTTTTTTTCTGTTTATCCAAGAAAACCTGCAATACATCAATGAAACATTGGCAGACAATGAATCGTGTTTGAAAAACACAAGAGGCAGGAAAACACACACAAAATAATAGTAAAATTAAGTAAAATAACCAACTGTAACTCATTCAGCTCAAGGCTAATCAAAACAAAGATCTATACTGTAAGTGAAAGGAAGTATAGCATTCATTGCACAACACAATCAGAGGTAGAATATGAGTATGGTGACTCTGAAAAATGACAGACGTGAGGCCAGAATTGATTTTACGTTTCGTTCTTTATTGGAACATTGTCAAGAATGAATAGTTTAAGTCCAAAAATACTGACAAACATACCAAAAATCAATACAAGATAAATTTTGACCAATTAGAAAGAGGTAGGTGGATCATGGAGACAAATGACATTCTGATAAATAAATTGATAAACAAAATAAGATTGTGATAAACAAAATGATTATTTTAGAACAAAAGCAAGTTAGTACTTATGCTATGTGAATAATGCAAGCTCTTTAGAGGCTCTGAGACCATAGTTTATACTAAGCTTGTATCTTCTTATTGCTAAGGCTTCAGCAAATAAAATTTCAGACCAATGTACAGAAACATGAATAATATTAATATTTTCAAATAATAAGGACTCAATAAGAGATTGTTTGGATGTATTGTCAGCCGTCATAAGATGTAGACCAATTATATGGTTAAAACCTTCACAACTCTCAATGTGTTCATGTACACTACAGTTTACATTACGAGAATGTTCAACAGCTCGAACTTTTAAGCATCTATCTGTTTTGCCTATATATAACTGTCGAGGCATTCAGAACATTTGAATTTATATATTAAATTATTTTATTTATTTATTTAAATATACAATCAGAGGTATTTCCAGTGTCAATCATTAACAATGAATGTTATTCTATGGCCTTTTTTAGTCGGTGATTGAGTTTTATCAAAAATAGAAGGTTATATAGTGAAGAAAATATACAGTATGAAAGGCTATTATGTAACAGATTTACCTTAGTTTTAAAATTCTCTCCTCATAGCCCAAAACAATAATGATGTTATTTACTCAAAAAATAAGAACGAAACATTAAAATGTAGAATCAAAATAGAAACTGTAATAACTTTATAATAAGTTGGTTATTTTTTAAGATCAACACAAGTTCTTTTCTAAGATCAACATCCATAGTTTCGAGTAAAGTTCCACTAATACCCTTTTTATACTACATGCAAACTCCATACAGTAAATAACCGGGAATTTTCCAACACCCAGGTTAGAAACTCTCAAGCTGTGGTTAGTGTAAACGTCAGAAAGTATTCGGGGATCGATGAGTGGGATGCATTCAGTATTGAATAACCTAGGTACACACCGGAACCGTCAGTGCGAACAACACCGATTTTGATTCCAGATTACAGGCCTTACTTGGCGCCTACCACAATTATTGTCCCTTTGCTGGCAACGGGATAAGCCAAGGCAATTTTCAAATTAAACTATGTGCACTTCAATATATAGATTTGATAAAAAATTGCTGATTTAATTTGCATAATTTAAAAATAATCTGCCGATACATTGCTCCGTCACAACTTGAGATACTCGAGCGACGTGACGATCACCATCAAATTGAGGGCGGTAGTTGAACCCGCGTTTGTTGCCGGTGTAAAATGGTTGAAATTTGGGATCAACTTTGACTTTTTAGTTGTAAATTTAAATGGAATGCATCCGGTATCACTCCGGAAATAATACAAGTTCATTCTCAACTTGGCAGTGTAAAAATGGTATGAATATTTCAACAGAAGGTTGTACTGGATTGACTTTTTTTTAGGATGATGACAGTTAATAAGCATGAAATAAAAGTGTCCATACTGTACTTGCTTTCTAAAGAAAACAATTAAAATATCTTGCGAACAATTTTCCACATACAGTCTATTTAGAATTTCAAGTCTTTGTGTTCAAATAATAACTAAGGTCAAATTTAATCAGGTGAATTTTCTTTAGACATGCTACATTGCCAGTGTAAGAGCCGTATGAAAACTGGAATACTGTACGGTAGATAAGGTCTGATATTAATGAATCGAAAAAAACTCAACAAGGATCCCTGTATAACAAATTTAAGCTCATGGCCAATTAACAATCTGCAGATTAGCCATGGCTACAATTCCTAGAAAATCTTAAAGTCAGGCTCCAGAAGAAAAAAATTAGATAGGTTGTAGAACTGATTTTTCTAAGACAGAAAAAAGTAGTTTGATCAAAAACTGAGCAACGGTGAATGAGATACAGATTTTTGAATATTTAAAAACTTGGGGAAAAAGGTGTAAAAATGGGCGAAAATCAGTTCTACAGATATCAAATTTTTTTTTCCTCCTGTGTCTGACTTTAAAGAAAATTGTTGTTTTATGTTTTTATAATTTAAATCATTGCATGCCAGCAAAGTACAGTATATTTATCTTCAGTTTGATATTCAGAATAAATCAATGTTCTCAACTAATAAGACATTATCTATGGCTCTGCATAAATTCTTTAGATAATTAATAATGTTAATTTGTGCAATAGGAATGTTATAGCAACAATGCCTCTGTCTGCATTATTCTGGTCATTTCTACAGTTTCCCAGTAAACAATTAACGTTTATGGTAATGTTTAATTTTTGTATTAAATATTTATATTTACATAGACAGTTTGAGAGTAAATTGCTTTGCCTTCGTTACTTGATGTTAATGCCATGTCTTCTTGTCATGATATTTTCATGTGTGAAGTTAATTATTATTATTATTATTATTATTATTATTATTATTATTATCATTATTATTATTTATTTATTTATTCTTTCAGTA